CCATGGGCCTCCAAGTAGGCTTCAGTGCGTTATGGAGTTTGCTTCCAGAAGTTGTTCCAGAGGATGTTGGAGGGGATCACAGGTGCTCCCCATCTTCAAACATTGCCAATGAAGGTAGAAGTGTTTGAGAAAAGAGAAGTTGTTCTTTATATCGGCTCTGCATGCTTGTGACCCCAGAAGCTCTGAAGCTCGGAGTTTAGCCTTGACACTCTGGGGCTGGGGGTTGCGTGCTCAGGATTCAAGTGTTGAACTGTAGGCTCATGGATTTTGACGTGCATGGAGCCCAGTTGAGGCTTGTCCTCTGACTCCAGAGCTGTCTCGCATTTGGCGCTCACTCCATGCTATCGCATTGGGCCCGTACGTATTAACAACATTTTGAAAATCGGAAGCCGCGCCACAAGACTCAGAAAGCATTGTGCGGTGCTTCGAACCCCAAAATGTTGCCCAGGTCCTGGGAAACAGTCTGCTGAAAGGCAGCCGTTTGGAATATCTGGGCTGCTTGGTGACAACTGGGAGTTTCTCAACCTAGCGGGCCTTTGTGGTCCTTACATATTGCCTTTAGGGTTTAGTGCTTTGGGTTTAGGGTTTAGGCTACATGGGGATCAGTTTGATGAATCCTCGGTTGGGTAAGTTTCAAGCAAAGACGGATTTCGAGGGTTTAGAGTTCCGGGTTTTTGGAAAGGATTATACTTTCTGGGTTTGGGATGGGCAGGAACTATCATTGTCAAGTCCAACATGGTGTTAATCAGAGAAAAGTGGTCGATCCAGTGCTGTTTTTCAAAATGAGAATACTACAGCTAGTAGTAATAACCATGGCAGGAAGATAGTAATAAGTGTAGTCATAAATAGTGCTGTTGTTAAAGTCCATCAAATCAAGTCTTGCCAAAGCCAGAAACCTGACATCGCTAACCGAGAGACCCGACAACCTGAAGCCCAAACGCTTTAGAACCCGAACACCTTCCGTCAGAATATCTTAGCCCAAGGCACTGGAACTCCAAAATACCAACACCCTCCACCCTAAACCCTAGAATGGCCGTCAAACCTCAAAACCCTAAACCCCTGAACCCTAAACCCCTAAACCCTGTCTAAAGCCTGAACCCTAAACCCCCGCTTGGGTCCTTTTACGCAGAAGCCCCGTGACTGCCACCTAGGCTTGGCGAAGACGGCGTCGGTCATGGTGCGCAGCCTTGGAATTTCAAGGGTTTGGGGTTTTAGTGCTTAGAGTTATGGGTTTCGGTTGTAGGGCTTCCAGGATTATGGGGTTTCATTGCTTTAGGGTTCAAGGTGTTCAGATTTTTTCCGCGGTTTTCGAATGCACTTCGGGTTTCAGAAGGTTTGGGGTTAAGGTTTCATTTTTTGTGGTTTTGTGTTCGTGGTTTCAGGGGTTTGGAGTTCAAGGTTTAGGTGAGGGTTTGAGGGTATAGAATTTCATAGCTCAGGGTTACATCGCCGCAGTAGTCCCCCAGATCCACCTGTCTGGAAGTTACCGCAGGAGAGGGGTTTCGTTTAGATGAACCTTTCACAGGAAATGAGGACTCTATGATTGGGAGGGGGGGGTCCTACCTATAGAATGTTAAGTAATCTAGGCCGGTGAAGGCTCCTTGCAGAAGGTCAGAAAAATCTTCCTGCAATTGCTCAACTTCTCCAACCTTCTTCCTCGAATTCTGAAGCCAGAGCTCCTTTGGAGATGTCTTCAGAGGACCTCAAGATTCTCACTAGTTAAACTTCATGGTTCCCTCCCCTAACTCTGAAGCCCCAAATCCCTAAGCCTGGAAACCTTTGCTCAGAAATTTGAGTTATATACTAGAATAGGGGGAACCACATTAATCACTATACACTCATTGTGGTAATTTCAGGGTTGCGGGTTGGGGTTAGCGTTAATTTGAGGAATCATCCACTTCGCCTCCCAAATCCGAAGCCTCTGAGCATTAAAGGCCTCGCAGCCAATGTGCGGCTTTCTGGAGCAGCTCCCTGCAGACAAGAGCCTGCGATTTTTGGATCTTTCTGCACCTTGACAAAGGGCCGGGATGAGTTGAGAGTTCAGAGATTACAGTCCCCCTTAACTAGATAAAATATGGCTTTGGGTATATTGTATAAAGATCCCCATATAGCCCATATTCTATCTACTTAAGGGGGACTATAGGTTTTCAGACTGAGGATCCAGGATTCAGAGTTCAGAACTTTGCGTTTCGGATCTGAGACTTAAAGGGCTAGGATAAGAGTGTAGAGAGCACAGTGCCCGGTTTTGGGTTTGGTCGGGATCACGTGCTGCGGTGGTTAAAGGCTGGATGCAATGTCAAAAGGAACGGCAATGTTTTGTGGCATAGTGTGCAGGTTTAGATGGGCCCAAATCACTGGATTATGGTTGTGACAGAAGAACACAAGAATGCATGATCTGAGACATCTCGTATCCAAGGACAATCAGCTGGACGAAAGCGCCGCGCTCATGTTGGAATATGGGCTACACACGCATCCCACAATAGCCCCTCGTTGCATCCAATATCGGGTCAGTGAATTTGCTTTGGCCTCATCCTGGCAAGTCGGAAAATCGAAGAGTTTAGGAGAGAACGCGTAAGATTTGTGTCGCTGCTATTGTTCATGTACAAGTACAATACGATTTATGTTGCTTTTCGGACCGTTTTCGCCTTGCCCACAGACAATTTGTCGAGAGCTTGGTCCTTCTTTGCAGGGTTGCAGTCGCATAGGCGGTCTAAAAAAGATTGGGTGTGAGGCTCGTTACATGGCATGCTCATAGTATTGTGGGTATTGTCAAGGATCAGAGCATGAAGAAAGAGGGTCAAGAAGTCTCCTGATATTGGGAAATCCGGAATCGTAATAGAATAGGCAATTGTAGTACTGGTGTTGGTGATGGGTGGTGATGCTGATGCTGATGATGATGATGATGATGATGATGGGGTCAGCTGAGGGATACGTCAATCCGTTCTTCTGTGCATTCAGCAGGGTACGATCGCAGGTCCGAACCTATGCCTTTCTTCCCATATGTCTTGATGAAAGTTAGCAGCGAACATGAAAAACAGAAGCCAGATTCACCAGCTATAGCCTGCGCTCCGATGCAGACAACCTCACTTGGTGCAGTGTGCAATGATTTCACCATAGGAACGCCTCACTCCAACAGCCAATGGGTAGCTTAAGCGCTGCAACAACCCCTTCATACTCCTCCGCTTCTAGATCTTGTGCCCCTGTTATTTGCCTGAAATAGGACAGATTTGAATGGGCCCAAAATCTGAACTGGAATTCTCCTGTAATTCATCTCAACGTTTTGGTCCTTGAACACTGAGTCCCTGGCCCCAAACACTTCCCTAAACCCTAAACCCTACACCATGAACCCTAAACCCTAAACCCTACTGGCTTCTGCCCCAAGGAGCTCCTAGACGTCTCCACGAACCCATTGGGGCAGAATGGACTCTGCGCTCTGTTGCCCGACAGGAACAGGAGGTTATTCGAGGGCTTCCCAACATTAGGGGTAGGTTGTAGGGTTTCAATACTGAGGACCAGAGTATGGGTATTATGTTGAGGCCCCCTATGAAAACTACCATTTGATTTGTGCGCGGCAGAAATTTGTTTCCACCTGCTAGCGTTGCACCGGGAATCAGATTTCGGTCCCATTCAACGTAGTTCTGGAGGGTCCGGTGTTTCCCGGCTTGCTGGGATGAGGCCTTTCTGGACAACACTTATGAAGGCCCTTTGCAACAAGCGAAGCTACGCCCTGAAAGCTGGGCAGTCGTATTGATCCTATGCCTGTCAAATCCTACCAGCATCCATGTAGACATCGTGAGAGCTCTGGTGGCTCTGGTGAGCTCAATTTTCATTGTAGCGCGTGCACCATCACCCCAACTCTAAGCCCAAAGAACACCAAGCAAGAAGAGCGCAGACGTTTTTATATGCTTCAAGTAAACTCATGGATGTTTAATAGCAGTTTGCACTGTGTTTGACAATTATCTTCCACCCAAAACCCAGACTCTGCTTCCAAGCACAAACTCCCTTTCTATCTTCTTGCGCGCCTTTACAAGGTACATGTACATAGAATTCTGCCTTTCATGTACTTCCTAGACAGCCAGCATGCAACCACCCGAACCCTACGTAGCATGCAACCACCGCAACCCTACGTATACTCCCAGAACCTCCAGATACAATTCTTGTCGACTCCACATGCCGTACCTACAGATCCATTCCTTCAGGGTCATAATTAAACCCTCAACCGTAGACCCTATGCGTCCTACACCCCCTCAACCCCAAACCTGTCATTCAGAAGGCTCCGGCTTCTTTCTGCCGAGCAATGTCCAGAGCTTTGCAATCTGCTCCTGCAGGACGTACAAGCCCCTGGGTCTGGTTTAGGGTTGAGAGCTCATCGTTTAGGGTCTCAGGGTTCAGCCAGCTTACTTTGAGGGCTTGAGCAGGGCACGGGCCAGGGCTAGCGCGGTCTTAGGGTCGTGTCTAGTGCTTTAGGATGGCTACAGCGATTTCAATGGTTGCATGGTGGCAACGATCTCCATGAGTATGAGTCAGTAGCAGTAGGACATTTTGGCGTCCTCTCCTTTCACTGGACACTACTCGGCTCCAACAGCACAACCCAAAGCACCATACCCAAAACTTCCAAAAGCTCTGGACCCGCGAACTCAAGCCGTTTACAACTTTGCAACCTGCAAGGCTGCATCAGAAGGAGACGTGGCAATGGGGCTCTTCGACGTAGTGGCCAAGCAGCATCTTTAAGTGATGACTTCTGGTGATTGGGTCATCAGGTCAATCGTCACAGTGTATGGTTAGTAGCGCAATGTTGTCAGGATCTGCAGGCATGTTTAGGAATTTGTTTCGAAGAGTGTCTGAAAAGTTGGGGGCCCCTCTATGTATACCTCAAAATCACCTACAAAAAATGGGGAGCGTCGGCTTGGAGTCCCTGAATTGCGATGAGTGGCATTCGGAAAGTGGGACCGGCCTTCTGCACCTTGGCCCCCCAACTTCACGCTCTAATCATACCAAAGCCTCCCAAGCTCAGGCCCCAACCCCTGAAGTGTTACATGAGCCATAGTCTAAACTTCTTAAAGCGGGTTATATAGGGGATTATATAGGGGAACAGTACAGGGGTTATTACATTGGATACTGGGAGTTTAGACCCTGTATGTCCCTCCAGAAGCCCCGATGTACATCCAGCCGTAAACAGGACCCATCTGGGCAGTATGCGTTGGACATGGCTACGCCTGGTCAGCGGACATGCTTTCGACTGCTGCTGACCAGCTTGGCACAGTTGGGCGGTAGCCGAAGCCAATACATCAAGAGTACCTCAGACTGATATGGTGGTTTCCACATATCAGTGGCCCTACTAAAGACCCCAATGTATCTCACTGCGAATTCAATCCCCTTTCTGGAACTGGGGGCGGCCAATTTTTTTGATTCCTTTGGCAATCCTAGATGTGGAGAAAATCCTGTGGGTCTGTATGGGTACAGTACCGCGAGACAGCCAGTAGCAGAAGTTGCCAGGATTCGCTTGGGCCACAGACGACCTCGTTCCGTGTAATTCGGGTTTGCTCGCGCTCCAACATACCTTACTCTCAGAATCTCGTTTCACATGTTAGTTGGACAGGATCCAACAGCTGTCAGGAATGGCCCAACTCTCACACCTGCTCAGATGATTAGCAATAATCGACGAGTCTCCTTTCCGGGCAGTTTCTCATTGAAGGGATCCTCGCCCCTGAGACTTCCAGAAGCACCTAGGCGCTATGCTGACCACGTCCCCGAAGACACCTCCCGTGCCGTACAACGCCCATGCCCAAGAGAGGGATTTGTGTGAAGCCTGCAGCAAGCACTGTGGCACTTAGCATGATGTGAGCTGAGACGCACCTTGTCATTACTGCAAGTCAGACAAGCATCCCACTGCAGGTAGATGGCGTGCGCAAGAAGCGGGGTGTTTGGAATGTGCCAACATCTGGCATCCTCAGCTTCGTGCAGCTCAGCGGCACTTTCTCTCTCCTCAGACTGGCACTGTGCAAGCAGACCGCTTACCGGCTGTAATCGGGAAGAACGCAGCTTCTTCACAGCAGCTGCATCCTGCGCAACGCAGGATATCTGTTCCCGTTTATGCTACATCGGACCTAATGACCCGCCCCAGGCTCAGTCTCAACGACCATTTCCTGAAGGACGAAGGGGACCACAGCGGTCTCTATTCAGATGCGGCTGGGTGGCTGTTGGAAAAATTGCTTTTGCTAGTAGAAAACAAACAGCCCCTATAGACCAGATACATTTATCATATTCAGTATGACTATATATGATATGTCCATGATGGAGTGAAGTATCCTGAGCCAATACCTGCCCAGGTGGTGGAGAGGATGTTGGGCAGGAGGCCATGGACTAGCATGAAGCCAACGCATCTATGAATGCTGTATGGTGGGTCCTGTTAGGTCCCTTAGGTGGGCTGCCTGCAATGGACGGCTTTTTATAGGGGTTTATATAGGTGCACTGAACAACTCCAACCTAGGAATTCTTGAAATTCACTAGATCACAGGAGTGAAGACCATATGCACGCACCCAAGGTAGACCAGTAGAAGTGATCAGGGCCTTTGAAGAAGGGCCACTATTTAGGCACTATGTGCAAGGGCTGCCTCTTACATAGTCATGTCAATCTCACACATGGTACCACATTTGGGCGGCACCATTTTTGACACAGACCCCAGTCAAGTCTCAAAGGCAAGATCCAGCCACGGGATCAATCTTTTTAAAAAGAGGAACCAGACTAATAGTTACATAAACCCAGTCGTATGGCACTCTCCACCAATCATGGATCCTCGTGGGTCAGGGACCTAAGTTAGGGGCCGCAGGCGGTGCTCAAGATAAAAAGTCCATAGTAGCACTACTTTTACTGACTGCTATTGTCATTACCATCATCAGAACCTGTGGATGGATCCTACAACTGTGTGCGTTGCTGAACATGCAGATGTTGCATGCCATGTTAACGCAGACTCTTGCAATCCCTGGAAGCTGCTTGAGAATGAGACACCACATCCTTCCCGATTCCCATACAAGCCTCACAACCCATGAAAGGCAAGTCAGGTTCGTAGCTTACTTCCCTTGTGTTGTGGATGCACATAATGCTTGCGGCTGGCCACCCCAAGCTTTACACAGGTATGTGTCGGAGGGCGCCAAAGCGAAGGTCTCTCAGACTCCTACATAGTGACAGTATCTTTCCCGCATCAAAGGGTTGTGCCGTCTGTTTTGGCGGTAGAAATTCCTCAAATTGAAGGTTCTCCAGGTAGGGGACAAACAGAGGGGCCCCGGTGCATGCCAAAGAGCAGGAAGCGGACCTGGAAATCAAAGCGAAAGTGCTTCGCGGTTCTGCAGAAGGCCCTGCCCTCATGCAGAGGGTTCACGGATTTAGGGCGTTCTTCAAAGAGGGATTTAGGGTTCAGGGATTCAGGGAGGTTCTTTAAACACGGATTTGGTTCAACCGTACTGTGACCAAGATGGCTTCTGAAAATGAGCCACAGTTGGCTTTGTGGCTTTGTGGCTGTAAGTGCAGCAGGAAGGCCGTGCTTAGGATTCTGTGCCGCAGTTTGTATCATCGCGTGCAAGTTCGGCGGTTTCCAAGAGTTGGAGCTGCGGCTAAGCGGTATTTGATCTATTCGAGGTACAGTAATATTCAGAGCAGAAATGTTGGGAATTGCTTATCTCAATCAAGCTAGCCAGACAGGGTTGTTTCACGCTGTCCTAGGGGGTTGATAGCTGCAGCTGCAAGCGGAATCAGAAGCAATATGAATGCAAGGTATTGGTCCCCTAAGAAGGGGCGCCTAATATTTTAGAAGCCAGAAAAGTGATTCACTGTTTGGAGGCCTGAAGTTGCTTGAACACCATGGAGCACGGAAACCTTCAGGGTAAACACTGCTGCAGTATTAGCCCAACCCCCCAAAAATCAAGATCCTTGCGACAGAAATCCTGCAAAGTCTGAAAGTTCATCCCTGTGGAACTTCCATATTCATGCCACCTCTTCACACTTTCCTTCTCGAAGCTTGCGAGAGGTGAATTCCATGGAGCCAGAATATAAGGGTTATGTAGGGGGTCATATAGGGGATACATGTCTTGAAGAAGCTATATATGTATATACACCCAAGTATACTATAGTAGCTTCTATTTTCTTTTCGATTATCCCTATATGACCCTATAGTAGCTATATTACCCTCTCCTCAAACCCTAAACCCAAAACCTTAAAACCCTAAACCCTAAACCTTAATATATTGTTTCCAAATTGAGCGAGGTGAATTCCATGGAGGGGCCGCTGTTTGATGCCATCCTCATGGCTCTGCTCCAAGACTTCCAGCTAAACAAGGACCAGGCCTAGGGCTTAGGGCTTAGGTTTTAGGGCTTAGCGT